AATGGGTGGATCGCCTGAGCTCAGGAGTTGGAGACCAGCCTGAGTACAGAGACCTCATCTGTACTAAAAAATAATAATAATACTAATAAAACTAGCAGGGTGTTGTGGGGAGCACCTGTAGTCCCAGCTACTCAGGAGGCTGAGGCCAGAGGATTGCCCGAACCCAGGAGTTTGAGGTTGCAGTGAGCCATGACACCACAGCACTCTACCCAGGGTGACAAAGTAAGAATGTTGTCTCAAATACACACATGAAATTTTTAAAAACTTAACTTTGAAAAATTCTGTAACTTTTCCAAATTAAAGTTTTTCTAAGGATGCTAGCAATAAGGTGCCTAATTTTAATTTTAGTGGAATCTTAACAAGAAATGAACACAAATAATGTCCCTAATCATTTAATGTTTAACAATCAAAACATTTTCTAGCTTCCCTATTAGAAAAAATTCACTTACATTTCAATCAGTAGGCTATAATATGTTGTAGTCACAGTTGAGTTCTCGCTACAACTCTTTTTATTTATATAAATAAGAGATGCTTTTGTCTGAAAGCAGTCTTTGTTCCACTCTTATCCTGTTTCAATCACTTGGATGGATCCTTTTGCACTTCCTCTTTTCCACCTGCTGTCATTTAACTTTCAGTTTCACTGACAGGACACCACATTCTTTCCTCTATCTCATCTCTCTAAACATAACGTTTTGTTTTGTTTCAACAAACCCTGAAGGTCATGAGCTAGTTTTAAGTCATAGGCAACACACCTGTTGAAATGAATGTTGACAAAGGTATAAAACGCTGCATCTACTTTGAAAGCTAAGTTTGTCACATATAAGTATAAAAAAACTAGAAAGTTTAGAAGAAAACAGAGAGCAAGAATAACTTTCTTAGTTATGGAACAGCGTTATCTGAAATATGCAAAGAACGATTTACATCATAACCAAGTTTGTCTATCAAAGGGGAAAATAACTGAAAAGTCCTACCATTAATAATCTAATATACAGCTTCCAAGGAACATCCTCTTTTTTTGTACACAATTGGCACTACTCTTCAAACTGCTGCTTGTTACATAAACAAAAATCATATACACAACTGGCACTACTCTTCAAACTGAAAATGCTTGTTATACAATTATATACAGTAGAACCTCTGTAAACTGACCCAAGAGATTGTAACAAACAGGTCAACATAGTAACTAGGCCTACTGTACTGATATGTATATGTGGTACATGTCCAGTCTACAAAAATTAGGTTAACTTAAGGATGTGGTCAATTTAGGGAGGTGGTCAGCTATGGAGGTTCTACTGTAACTACAAATTCTTTCAGTAGGCAAGAATTTTAATAATTATTCAACAACTAATACCAATCACGTAAATGCTGAATAGAAATAATTTTATATTAATATACAACTCTGTTTAATTTTGTTCACTTAAATTACAGTATTTCCTTTAAATGAGGAATAACAAACAATTTTACTTGGAAAAAATGGAGTCATTTAAAGTGTGGTTAGTATAGTCTGTTTCAACACAAGGACAACCTACATAGAGGTGTCCCATGAGCACATTGTTAATGGACTGAATCCAGCTCTGAAAATATTTTCTTAATACATAAGGTAGTAATGTCTTACATCTCCCGGGCTCAGAAGTCTTGCAACATCAATACCAAGGACACAGCTGAGGATCCAGTAAAAAACTAAAAAGGCATCAAAGGGCAGAATAACTAAACTGCCATAAAGCCAATGCACCAAGCTCCATGGGTCCTTGACTGTTATAAAGTATTCTATCAACCCCAGCTTTTGGATTCTTTATTCACAGCAAGCCTAAACCAGAAAATTAGGGGAAGAGGCAGATGAGAAGAAGCAAGGCAAGATGAGTTTGTCCATAGCTGTAAGAACTGATAGCAACAAAAGAATAAGAACAATGAAAATGAAAAGACGATCTACAAATGTCTAATAATATAGAATCTCAACGACAAGCAGCATTGGAGTTAGAATTACAGTTCCAGGACCACACTAAAGTAGAAAACTTAGTTATTCTGTGCCTTATTTTCATGTGATAATTGTCATACACTGTAATATGTGCTTTAATATACAGCATTTGATAAGCCTTTATTATTTTTAAAAGTGGCATTTAAGTATTTTTTCCTGGTCCTAAAAGAAATTTAGAGAATTTGGAAAATACCAAAAGTGAAAAGAAAATTGAAATTACCTGTAACTCATCACTCAGAGATAACCAACACTTAGTTCTCTGTGCATTTATTTTTCAAGGGTCTCCATGTATAAATATGTACATATGCCTTTTTTAGATAACTTTTTTTTTAAGCCTGGAATTACTTGTGGGCATTTTCCCAATTCAAAAAGTCTCTGCAGAATTACATATGTTAATGTTAACACATATTATAATTTATTCTATTATTATGATTTTGGTTGGTATAAAACATTTTAAAAATTCTGCTGAATGAATGACAATCTAGTAAAAACGATCATTTATAAAGTCCACAGAAACTTTAATTGAATAGCTGACCAATAAATTACCCCAGAAAAAAGATTAAAAAGTTGTGGTCTGTAAAACTAGATTATCAAATACAATACTTAAATAAAATGAACAGATGAAATAGATGGAGAACCAAGACTCTGAATTTTTGAAAATGATCATTTTAAGTTTCTTCTGATGTCAACAATAAGATACTTTCAATTAAAAGAATTATGGATTCTTTCAGAAGTTACAATCATGCTGATAAAGTAGCAGCCATTAATGACTTATTAAACATTCTGCTCATGCATTAAGCAAATTATTCATTGAGTACCCACTATTTGATATAAAATGAAGAAACAGTATTTAAAATACTTTAATAAAAATGTGGAAAAAGTCCCCTCAAATCCTACTCCCTCTCCTCTTTCTTTGTACTTATCATCCAGTGTTCATTTTCCCCACTACACTCTGAGAAGAGAGACTGTCCCTCACTCCCTCTGTATTTCCAGCTCTTGCCATAAAGTAGGAGTTCAATATAGGTTTGCTGAATAAATGTACACATTTTAATCCAGAGTTTTTCAGTCCCATCTAAAAGCACATGTTTATACAAATGAAATACATACAGTTTTGGATGACGATGATGTTTTCACTCTTATTTTCTATGTTCTTATCAGTCTTCATAATCTTACTGCCTAATATTCCATCACATCTCTATAATTTAGAAAACTATTCTCTTCATATTGTCTCTAAAGATATTTCTAGTGTTTTTATATTGGATAGCTAATGCTTTAGTAAACATACTTTGCCTCACCAAGGCAGTGGTGTAAATAAATCTGTAAATCACCTTACAGATTTATTTCTTAGTGGAAAAACTGGGCTCAACTCTAGAACAACATATTCTAAGACGAATGTTAATCATAAAAAGATTTTTACCCCACAGGTAGAATTTTGAAAGACAAAGAAACACACAAAGAAACCAGAATTCTTTTTTGCCAAATTAACTACTCCCAACAAACAATACATCAATTCAAAGTAACTATGTTTTGTAGGACTGCTTCACATACATCCTATTTAAGGAAGATACTTCTGGAGGCAGGGAGTGAAAATCTTGATGGAACAGACAGATAAGACATCTAAACAGATATTCACTGCTTTACCTTCACTTCCCTGGATGCACAGAGCTTGCTCAAGCCCTCCGGTTGTACCAATGTAAGGAACTTAGAGCTTCTGAAGATACCCTGATTCTCCTTTCCCTCCATTTATAGGGTCTAAATTAAAAATCTACATACAAGCATTTAAACCTTGACTTTAGATAGAGGGAGCTTATGGAGAAACCAACAATATTTTAATAATGAAGCTAGCTTATATGCATATTCATTCAAAAATATTTGTGTTGAGCCTCTATTATACTATCACATCCTCACAGCATATAGCCCTCCATTGATAACAAATCATTAACCTGACTTCCTTTGTTTCTGTGGGCGAAGAGGAAAAAAGAGAGGAAAAACAGTTAACTATATTATAATTTAATTGTGATCCAAGGATGACTGATAACAATTATCTCTAAACGAAACATCAGAATATAAGATAAAAAGACAACTTCATTGTGAGGAGGAAGAGGACCTCTGAGCACAGCCAGAAGATATGTTAAAACGTGCAATTTTTAAAAGAAATGTTATTCAATTCATACTTTGTATGCATCAAAATTTTTAAGAAGCCCAATGAATGACACCTGTGTATAATTTTGTAATTTTGCTTCGCCGGCTTTTTCATACATACATACACACACACACACACACACACACACACACAATTGGGACTCAACAGAAATAAATACAACTAAATTATTTAAAGCAGGAATTCCATGTTGTTTGGAATATGGAACCTTTAGGTTCCCAGAAGTTCCATTCACAGTCTGCATGAACATTCCTCACTGTACAAAAGCGCATGCCATGACAAAGACCTCCAAACACAAACGTACAAAGACATGCTTCTGAGAACGCCCTAAAGCCAAGTTCACAGCTGGCACTTGTGGCACATTCAAGCGACTGCTGAAGCAGCTGTCACAGGCCAATCACACGCCCAAGAGTGCTAGCGTGCCACCTAAAGAAGACAAGCTGATGATCAGCTCACAAATCCTTCACGGAATAAAGAAAAGCCCTAAATCCCCACCCTGAAAAGCACAATGCCTCCTGCACCACGCAGAAAAACTCCCCCCCGCTACACACACGCACAAAATTAAAGGTTAGAGATTCAGAAGCAATCAAATACCAGCTTACGGTTTTATAGTAAAAGAGTATTATGTGGGCATTCACGAGAAAGGAGCCATACTATTCAATTAACACGAAAGTATCATCGGCTAGTTAGGGCTTTTCCCCTACTGGAAAAAGGGGAGAGGGCGAGAGGAAGATGCAGACCCTGCAGCACCTCCCTGCAAGGCAGCGCAACCGGGCTGCCGCGCAGTCCACTCCCCGGGCCCCCTCCCACCCCGGCCAGCCACCGCCCCCCGCCGCAGGCCCGCTGCCTCTGGCTCTCGCCTACCTTCGCTTTGCCGGCCTCCAGCTTCTTCTGTCTCTCTTCGTCCTCCATGGCCTCTGCGACCAAGGCGAGGGAAAACCGGGAGGGGCGGGGGTCAGGGGCTGGAAGGAAAGGTCTGTTCAGACGGAGGTGGGACGGAAAGCTCCGCGGCCCCGGCAGCAGGGCCGGGATCGGCGCACCCCCACCCCGCCCGAGAGGAACCCGTCTCCGCGCTCACTGGCGGAGCGTCCCCGGCCGCACGGGAAGCGCCGTCACCGCCGCCATCTTCGTCTCCACGTAAACACACGGCAAGGCGGGAGGGGGGTGGAAGGACGGTCCGCGCAGCCGCCGCGAGCCCCGCCGAGCCGGGCAGGTGCGCTCGCGCCCCGCCCCGCCCCGCGTGTCCAGGAGGGGAGGTCCCGCCCAGCCGCGGACACGGCCTGGGACGAGCCGCTGCTGCGCGGGGAGAGCGTGTCCTTCACCGGGATCGGCGGCTCCCAGGTGGCGGCCACGCTGAGTGGGCAGAAGGGGCGGAGTGCGCCAAGGGCTCCTGGCCGGACCCCCACCCTCCATCCAATGGATTCAATTCTTTTATAATGTTGCGGGTGTTTTTTTAATCACAAAAATAACAGATGCCTAATAGTGAAATTCGTGAGCGAGTGGGCCCACCCGACACCAGTTTTTCAGCTTAGATTGGCTCCTCAACTCAGGGATTTAGGACAGCTAGTTGTTGTTACTACTTCTTTAGCCTAAAGGCCCCTTCCTCTTGCCCACTGGTTCCCGCCCAATCTCTGGTTCATGCTTTATAGGCCTACCTTACAAGCTGCCTCCGAATATCTTTTCGGACCTCTTGTTCCCTACACTGCAGCTGGGACTATCCAGTCAAAACTTACTCCCCTCTCACCCCTCCTTAGAACTTCCCTTTGTTAATGACGTTCTGAAAGGAGCCTGAACAGAACCTGGGCTAGGGACAAAGTCTGCCTGCAGTAACTTTCTAGCTTAAGTGACCTTAAACAGCTTAACTATCTTCACTGTACTTATCTGGAATTTTTGGAAGCGTTGTTAATTACAAGAATGGAAAAAGCATCCAGTGTATTCAATACTAACATCAAACTAGTAGAGGAACTACTACACACCTGCAAGGGAAAACAATTCAAATGGGGGAGGAGGAAGAAGAGTTGGTAAATCTCACCTAACAGGTGAGATGGCACACATCCTGGGTGAGGGGCTCAACTACAACTTGGACTTTTAGCTAACAAATGCAAACAATGTAACCTAATCGTTCATACTCATATATTAATCTGAAATTTAAAAAAAAAAAAATATATATATATATAAAATGTGACTACCTCTGGCATATTAAAACGTCCTGAATTAATGTCTGCTTTCTTTTTTCCTTGTATTTCCTTTATGTACTCTACATTATATTTTAATAATTTGTTCTTAGTTCAGCTGGAACTCCTGACTCAATGAGTCTTTACTCATCTTGGCATTACTAAAATGACAAGCCTAGGGCATTGCACTCAATAAACACTAGATGGACTGAATTGAACAGTGTTTTGAAATTTAGCATTACTATCTTTCCTTTTATTCTCCTTCTTCTGCTCCCTCAATGTTTCCTTTTTGCTCCCTACCCTGTAACCCTTAAATTCATTCCTCAGGTGAGCTACACATTTTAATGTCTCAGGTTGGCGGCACCTGTGGCTCAAAGCGGTAGGGTGCTGGCCCCATATGCTGGAGGTGGCTGGTTCAAACCTAGCCCCTGCCAAAAAGAAAAACAAAACAAAACAAAACTAATGTCTCAGGTTGACTGTTTCACCTTTGTTTTGAGCTAGGTTAGACTGAATCACTGGCAGGTGTGAACGAGAATAGGCTATGTGTTCAATGGTATAAGTGGTGTTAAGTGAAAATTGGGTTAAAAAAGAGGGTCTGAAGACCTTAAGTCTACCACAAACTGAAGACTAGTTTTAAATAACTGATTTAGAAATGATATTTTTTCCTCAAGCTCCACAATGCATGTGTAATTGTGTCAACTGGTAACACCCAAGTATGTATTATCCTGTTATGTATAATCCTGTTAATCTCAATCTGAATTGAGAACTGAGTGAGACTAGACATTTTATCATAAGCATAAAAGAATTAAGATGACAGGCGATATATTTGCTTAGTCACCCATCAAGCTAAGGGTGGAGCTAGGGCTCAAACCAAGTCTTCTACAGGGCAGTGATTTATATACTGCTTAGATTGAAGGATTATGTTTGTAAATTCTGATTGCCTAGGTGGAGGAAGCCCAGGACTTCTGAGATGCTCCTGTTTGTTAATGGATACTGTTTTCTCAGTGACTGAGGAAACCAGGCATGTGTTCCACTATGTTCTGAAAATGTTCAAGGACACCTTCTAGAAGCAATCAAGTCATTTCAGCATTTCCCTTTACAGCAATCAATCATATACATGTCTGTTTTACATATAATGGGAGCTCAACAAATGTCAAAAGTTTTATGTTAAGTTAGAAGGGCAAGTGTGTGGCACTTAGTGCTCTGACTCTTCCTGCTGTCATGTCACATTATGTCATACAAATCATTCATTCATGTCATTTATTCATTCAAGCGAGCCCCTGCTGATACTTGAGCAAAGATTTGAAAGAGATGAGGGAGTGAGCCATGGAGATAAATGAAGGTATAAAATAATCTAAAGGCCCTACAGCTTAAGTATGACTGGCAATGTGAAAGAAAGAATAGGAGGCGAGCGTAGGTACTGTGGAATGAGCAAGGAGCATAGAAGGTGGTGGAGTCACAAAGTAAGAGTAACTGCGAAGTTCTGAAGGTCATTTTAAGGACTTTAGCTTTTACTCTGAGTGAGATCAGGGGCCATTGGAGAATTTTGAACAGATGAGTGACATGACCTGGCTTATGTTATTAATGAACATCTGTTATGAGGAGAAAGGACTGTGGGGGATTAGTTTAGATGTAATAATCCCAGATAAAGGGAGTTTAGACCACAGTAGTGGCAATAGAGGTCATAATATGTGAAAGTCTGTGGTGCGTACCCAGAGAGGAGACCAGAGAATAGAGAAGTTTAAGCCCAGGTTTTGTTTGTTTGTTTGTTTTGAGACAGGAGCCTCAAGCTGTCCCCCTGGGTAGAGTGCCGTGGCATCTCAGCTCACAGCAACCTCCCACTCCTGGGCTCAAGCGAATCTCCTGCCTCAGCCTCCCAAGTAGCTGGGACTACAGGCGCCCACCACAACGCCCGGCTATTTTTTGGTTGCAGCCGTCATTGTTGTTTGACGGGCCCAGGCTGTATTCGAACCCGCCACCTTGGGTGTATATGGCTGGTGCCTTAGCCACTTGAGCCACAGGCGCCGAGCCTAAGCCCAGGTTTAATGGAAAGAACCTATCTGGGCAGAGCCCCAGATGGCATCTGCACTGACTGGCTGAGATATTGTTGCTTTCATAGGGTCTTTGGTGGGCAGGAAAGGAGAGCTGAGAACTTGGTCCACATCAATGCAGATTAGGTATTGATAATCAACCAATTAGGATTGTCGCACCACCCTCTAAGCTAATGTGGCCCCTCTTATGTAAATGAGGTATTGAAATCAGGTGACCTTCCAAGGACCTCCCTCCTCCCAGGCTCAGGGAGTTGAGGGGAGGGTTTGTGCTTAGGCATTATACCTACCAACATTCCCACTTTTGTTAAAAAAAGGTGGAGGGCAATGGTCTATCTTCTGAAAGGATTCTGGCTCAGCAGGGTCATAGTTGTTTTTAGTGGGATGATCAGGGGCGGGCAAACCTGCACAGGCTTTGGGAGAAAGTTTGGGAGTATTAGGAATTGGGCTGCAACTACTGTTGACACTTTTTTTTACCTTGTCCTGAATAAATGAGGACAGGGGTTGGATGACACAGGGGCAATGGTTAACAATAAGAGAAGTGTACTGAGGGAGCCTAAGAGGGGCAAATCCAGTGTTCCCTCTGGCTGTTGAGCCAAGTTCTTTCACTTTGAGATTGCAGGTGGGTAGTTTGTTCCCCTGAGTCTGGTGATCCTCTCTTAGACCTAGGCCAGACTTGGTGGTGTAAAAACCAGAAGTCCACCTGATTGGTCAGCTTTTAATGCTCATTTGCATGAAAGGGGACATGGTAGTTCAGAAGGGCATGATAGGACAATGCTGATCAATTGATTTTCAATATCTAATTTGCATTGACAAGGACCAATAAAATTCTCAGCATCCCCTTTCCTGTCTACCAAGGACCCTAAGAAAGCAACCAGCATCCCAGCCAGCTGGCACAGATGCCATCTCAGGCTTTGCCTGGGCTGGTTCTTTCATTAAACTTGGCCTTAAACTACTATCCACCACATCCCTTTCAATATGGAGTCAGATTTTGCAGGTCTTTTGAATGTAGGACTAATAGTGTCAGAGGAGTTGTAGCTTGAATGAGAGATTTGAGACAAAAAGAAGAGTCAAGATTGATTCTAACATTTTTGGCCTGAGTAACTAAGGTGAAGGAGTTGCTGGTAACTGAGATGGAAAAAAGCAAAAAAAGTTCAGTTTTGGACATAAGTTAGACATACACATTAGGCATTCTTAGACACCTGAGTCTGGAGATCAGGAGAGAGTGTAAGCTAGAAATAAAAATTTAAGAGTAGTCATAATTTAGCATATTGATGGTATTTTAAGCTAAGGGATTGAATGAGATCAGCTAGGCCATGCTGTTACATGTAACAGTTGTGAACCACATGTGGCTATTGAGCACATAAAATACTGTTTGTCTGAATTGGGACATTCTCTAAGTATAACACATTGGATTTGGAAGACTTAGTTTTAAAATAACTTAAAATGTCACATTAATATTTTAATATTATCAAAATAGTTATATTTGCAGTATATTTGGTTTGATATAATATATATGAATTTTACCAGTTTCATTTTAACAGTGTTTTAAAAGTAGTTACTAAAAAATTTCTAATTACATATGTGGCTTCCGTTGGTGGCTCACATTATTTTTCTATTAAACTATACTGCTCTAGAAAATGAGTTTAGATAGAAGATTATATAATGACTGAGTCTACTCCAAGCGGGAAAGAAGGTAAGAAGAATCAGCATATAAATGATAAAAAACTGGCTAGTTATATAAAAGGAACCAGTAGACAAGCGAAGAAAGAATAGGATGAAGGAATGATGAACTGTAACAACTCCTGCTAAAGGATCAAGTAAAATAAGGGCTGAGAAATGAACATCAGGTATAGCAAGGTGAAGGCATTGGAGGCATCCATGGAATTCACTGTAAATC